GTGTTGTGCCCCTCTGTCACTGGGTCACTTAAACAAATTAACCAACAACATTTTATTTAACGAACAATAATTCAGCTAAATTCAACTGCGCGGGTCATTGTCTTAGGACCAAAGCATGCAAAGATGTTGAAGATAATTCTTTTCTTTTTGTCCTTTTAAATTAAGTTAGTTTTGATGAAGTGACTACAGTAAAAGAACTGAATTTTTCTCTTCCTTTGTATTTTGCTTGTTTTGATAGCTTCAGTGGTGTTTAAATTCGCTGATCAGCAGACCGTGAGAAAAGTCATCCGGGCTCTTCCACCTGTGGGAGTTGGAACATATTATGGGATACCTCAAACTAGGTAGGCTAGTATTTAAGCCTTCAGAGAGAGCACTTCTGCTGGCTTTGCTTCTTTGTTTCCAAGTTAACGTGGTTTTTTTTGTCCTTTTTTTTCGGTTTGCAGGGCAGCATCATTGTATTCTCCCCGCCAACTTTTCCAGAAATCCACCATGACACTACGCTGGCAGAAGGGAGAAGTGTCGAACTTTCAGTATCTTATGTTTCTCAATACCATCGCAGGTAAGCATATTGGGGACCAGTTATCTTATTTATGTTTCGAGTTCATCAGTTTTCGTCCCTTCTGGTGAGTTGCAGGAATAACCCCTTTATTAGGGAAGAAGTGCTGGCGCAGTGGCGAGAGCTCTCGCCTTTCAGTGCTCTGATTTTGGTTCGATTCTCTTGTACGTTTAGTTTATTTTTTGTCTCGCTTTCGTTCCAAGGATTTTCCCCGAGGTTCTCTGATTTTCCGTCTTACTTAAAATCTACCGTACCACTCTCCAATGCGATCGAGAAATTCAGTACAAAGAACTCTCCTTCGGACCTGTCACTACTGATAACTTATTCATTTTTTATTTATTCATTTTATGTATATGATTTTACTTGTACTAAAGTTGTTACCGCAGCTGTCTCTTTCGATCATTAAGCTTCCAGCTTAGATTATTTAAGAGCTGGTAGGTGTACTCTCATAACGACCCTGATTGGATGTTACACGGTTTTGAGTTTCTACACATAACGTAATATGCAGCCAATTAAAAACACTACAGGAATCCGGGTAGAGCTGGGTCACAAACAGTTTTTTTCGGCGGGGCGCTGGTCTGTTCAGGGCTCTCCCTACAAGGGGCGATGAATTGTTTTTTCAGAACATTGATTATTTACCTAACTATTATTTCTTTCTCATGTTGTCTTAGGTCGAAGCTTTTGTGATCTTAATCAGTACCCAGTGTTTCCGTGGGTTTTGACAAACTACGAGTCAGACACATTGGACCTGACTGATTCAAACAATTACAGGGACTTGTCCAAGGTAAGATGTCCATGAAATTCGTCATTTGCTTCAGATGCCGAGGTCATGGTATCCAGGCACCAGCAACTTTCCTTACTTTCCGAAATTAGCAAGGTACATTCCCTTTTTTAGAGATCACGGACGGAAAGCAAAAAGGATGTGGAGCGCATTTCGTCTTTTTTTTTTATCAGAAAGAAACTGATGAGAAACTTCGAATTTTTGTAATGAAAATAGTCTGTTAACGTAATGAATTTGTATAGTCCAGTGTGAAAATCAATGCGTTTACTTTGATTCCAACGTTTTCTTGCTTTTTTTAACCACTTACCTAATTATGGAGCATGATTTTATTGGGATATTCATCACTGCGTCGAGACAAATAATTTTTTCTGCCATTCTGTTCGTAGCCTATTGGTGTTCTAAACCCTACAAGACACGCACAGTTTCTGGAGCGCTATGCATCATGGGATGAGAATGACGACATCCCCCCGTTTCACTATGGAACGCACTATTCTACATCCGGGTTCACACTGGCTTGGATGATTCGTGTGGTAAGTTGATTTGCCTTATTTACTTGACAAGATCATTAATGTTCTTGCGTGTTATTTCTTACCAACCGATGCAAAACACGTTTTATTGGTGCATTTTTAGAGGAGAGTTCATTGAAGCATCGCAAGATGCCTGAAGGTTCTTGTCTCAGAAACACGAGGTGCCAGAATCTGAAAAACTGTCACGAAATTAAATTTTAGAACACCCTCAAAAACATCTGTTAGTCGTGTGCAGCTCCGTGGCTCAGATAAAGCAAATATTTCCAGTGATTTCGTCACTTCTTAGTTCTCCCTCGGTGAGGTGACTATGTAATCGAGAAAAATGTCGAGAGCGTTTGTGGTTCACAGGGTCAATTCTGTCCTTTTTTTACTGTATTTGAAATACAAGCTGGGATAGAATCTTCGAAAGAAGTGTATCAAAGATAGAGGCTCAGTTTATCGAGGGTAAGGGATCATCTTGCGTTTTACGAATCTTGAAAAACTGTGATTCTTTCTCGCACTGCGTTTTCCTTCTCTGTTGCGTGACGAGTCCAAACAACGGCGCAAACGATATAGGAAATTCTGCGTCACCAGGCTGATGACCGTAACTCGGCATTTACGTCTTTTGATGTCTTTTCCAACAGGAGCCGTTCGCGACTCAGTTCCTTAATCTTCAAGGTGGAAAATTTGATCATCCTGGAAGGACTTTCTGTTCCATTATACGTTCTTGGAAAAATTGCCAAAGAGACACATCTGATGTCAAGGTAAGTGCGAAAACATTATATTAACCAGGGCGTGAAATTGCGCCTAATACAGGCGCCAGTGCGACTAAATTTTTCACTTTGGCGACTAAATCCTGAAAAGTAGTCGCCAAATTGGCGACTAGAATGCTTAATCATAACCATAACTAGAGATGTTGTGAAATAAAAAGATTTGCAAGGATAAATCCGCGGCAAACTTCCTCGTTAAGTTTGTTTCCAAAACGCAGCACATGCATCTCGATCGAAAACTATTCGCTATCTTGGATTTAGGTGAGCTTGAACTTTGTATATCATCCATCCTAGTATCCGCTTTGTAGAACTTTGTAGAACTTAATTTTGGAGGGTTTATCTAGAACTCTGATAGCGTTAAAAAAAAAGGTTTTTTTCGTCTCTAAAAATGGCGGTCAACTTTTTTTGAATTGGCTACCACTTTGAAAAATTTAGGAGCCAAGTGGCTATTAGAAAAAAAAAATTAATTTCACGCCCTGTTAACCCTTTACATCCTAACATCAGTCTCCATATTCTCCATACTGTTCTCTATACATTTCCTAAGGTGTTGACAAGGAGATTTTGTTTAACAACCAAGAACTTCTTTGGTTTGTGATCATTTCCTTTATTCTCATGAAAAAAGACGGCAGTCACTCTTAGCTTTGTTCGGTTTGGAGAATTATTTTGTCTGCTGGAGTGATGAGTGTATACATGCAAATATTAAACTACGTAACATGACATGTGAACATTATTACGCATGATGTTTCTGGTCTTTTAGTTTGGTATTGAGGTTCTCTTGTGTTTTTGTTTGCAGGAGCTTATTCCAGAGCTGTACTATCTCCCAGAGATGTTTGTGAACTCGAATAATGTAAGAGTCTATCTGTTATAATGTGAAAGCAGATTTCCCCTTTAATCTTCAAACTCAAGCTACATATAAAGTAAGGTTTGGATATAAAACCCGTTTGCTACTACTTAGCTCAAGTTACGTTGGTTTTTCAGTTCACTTTTGGTATCGATGATGATGGATTAGTCATTGACGATGTGGAGCTTCCCAAATGGGCGTCAACTCCCGAGGAATTTGTTATGCTACACAGAGCAGTAAGTATTAGGGCACTCTAGTTTTCAGATGCAGCGATGGTGGATTGATATCAGAGGGATCAACTAAATGAAGGTTTTTATTTCTCTCAAAATCACATTGAGTGACGTCTGACTAAAAATTGGGCGGTTGAAGTCCAGCAGTATAATCAATAAACTTCGATCAGCAACTAATGCCACGATCGTGAACGTTGTCTCGCTTCTTTCAGATATCCTTTAAATGTAGTTTCTTTTTCACTTTTAGGCCCTGGAATCGAGATATGTGTCTTCTCATCTACATGAATGGGTCGACCTAATATTTGGATTTAAACAAAAAGGTAAAATGCAGACAAAAAAGTAACAAAGTAGCTGCAGCATTAGGCTGGATTCCCTTTCTCTTGTGAGCTCGGTCCCGGGCTCATTTTCCAAACAGCGGCTTTTTATCGAGCATACCATAGCCACTACTTTTTCTACACGTCATTGGTAGATGAATGGTATAAGTTTCTAGTAGCGGTAACTTTCCCACACATTCACTTGCGCTTTGCATCAGTTTCATATTTTCCCGCGCTTGACGCTGGCGCGTTTTCGAGCGCGTGACGTTTGCTGAAATTATCCCGCGTCTAACGTGGATTACATATTTTATTGGGCATGTCACTTGTTGCAATTTCCGCGCCCTTGAGGAAGGTTGCATTTTGACACATGCCAACAAGATCACGTGAGTTTGCATTGGCCTTCAACGCCATATGCAGTTCCTTGAACTTTTACTCTGCTTAGAATTGCTCTTGTTACAGTCAGAGAGTAACTTGTCCTCTTATTGTTAGGTCCTGAAGCAGAAAAGGCCACCAACGTATTTTTTCACCTTACTTACGAGGGCAATGTAGATTTGGACTCCATAGCTGATCCTGTCATGAGAGAGGTTAGCACTGTTTTTATTGAGTGAGTGATCTCGATAGAAGACCTCGTTTTTACCACTGGAGGTAGTTTTCAGTCAATTCCCGGCTGCCCTTTTGGACATGATATCGCTTCCTTACTTTTATAAATGCTACTAGATTGCTGATACACCTGACCCTCTCTCCAGATTAGATCAGATTAGACCAGACTTGCTAGACTAGACAAGACTTGCCTTATCACCAATTAGATTATGAACTCGATATTTCGGGCAAAGAGTTCATAAAAGATAAATTTAGCTCTGTTAAGAGCCTTTTCAAGAGCGCATTACTTAGGCCCAATTTGTTTTCATCTTTTGGAATTGAAAGTACCGTTCTTGTATTTCTATAACCGTAAGTGATGTTAATTTTTCAGGCCGTAGAGCAACAGATCAAAAGTTTTGGTCAAACGCCTTCGCAGTTGTTACATGAACCACATGTTCCACGGATTCCGCCAGAAACTCCGGTATGTGACTATTCTATTTTATAATTTATTTCTTTATTTTCCTTACTGCTCCAGCGCTCTGCGTTTGACATCTACGTGTGAAAGAAAGAGAAAATCACCACTTGGAGTGCTAGATATGCGTGTCGTTCAAAGTCTTTTCAAGAGAAGAGATTAATCTTTTAAGTTTGGGTTTCAATAACTTTTTGTGTTTATTTTTTTAGATTACGGAAGAAGAGGAGCCTTTTAAAAGTACGTGTACGCATCATTGTTGCATCTTTGAATATGGAACTGGGTCTATGAATTATAACTTCCTCAGTTACTTTCATTAAATCTGTAAACCAGAGTAGCATCAAACCATGTCTGATTGTCCACCTGGTTGCCATGTGAACTTTAATATATTGGACTCTCTTTGTTACGATGCAATGCGCTGAATGTTCTATTCCTCCAGTGACGTTCAAAAGCTCGGAATAAAACAACGCCAGTGTATGATGATATTTGTTTTATTTTCCATACAGGTATATATTTAACCTTCAAAGTTACGTCTGATGTCCCTGTGACTCATGTTGCCGCTAACACCGACTCCACCGTCCCTTCCCCTGCTGTCGTGACAATCAGTTGCAACCAGTGTTTCTCGGTCAACAAGTGGTTTACATCAGGTAAGTGGAAGGGGAGTGGAAAGCTGATAATTCCATATTGCCTAGCCTCACAGAAATTAAACTTTTCCCTGAGCAGCTTCAATATTATGCGACGACCCAGTGAATTTAGAGTATTTGCTGATGAAAGTGCATTGTTAGACGAATCATCAAGGTTTGACCTAAACGAGGTGTAACTAGGTGGAGTTCTTTTGTGAAATATTTGAAGCTGACCAACAGCGAGCAGCGAGGAACTGATTTGATCCCTTCTACTTATTATATATTTTGAAAGTTAAGTGGTCCAAAGTAATCTTGCCTTGTAAATGTGTTCTCTTTAGCAGACCCAAAGCAAAGTCTTCGAGGAGTTCAAGTTGAGCAAGATCCCATGTTAGGTAGGTAATCAAACTCTGTTTTCCATTTTGCGAGACCTTTTCAAATAATATTGTACTTTTCTTTTGCAGCAACAAACGCTGGACGGCAGAAGCGTCAACTCGGTGAACCCTTAGATCAGTCTGTCACACCGTGCGCCTGCTGCTTCGTGGTGACCGCTGACAACAAATACATCATGGCTTGCGGCTATTGGGATAACAGCTTTAAGTGTTTTTCGGCGGATGGTGGTACGTTTAAGTTACTTTCCAAACTAAATTTAACTTACGAAACAAAAATGAAATATGAATAAAACATTAAGATTCTTTCCCTGTTACATGCTCACAGCATCGAGATGTCTGCAAAATTGGAGCTGCCCGTATCCGGATTTTCTCTTTGTAAATGTTGTGTCTTATTCCACAGGAAAATTAACGCAGTGTGTCTTTGGCCACTGGGATGTGGTGACGTGCTTGGCCTACTCACGTCACGTGGGGCTGATAGGCGGAGATGCACTTGTTGTATCGGGCTCGCGTGATGCTACAGTGTTGGTTTGGCGATGGAGTGAAAAATTGCAGAGAGTAGCAGCAACTGACCGCGAAGAAGGTGGGTGCTAGCTTTGAAATAATCTGTTTCGTTTCAAAATCGTTTTATAGTTTGTTTTATTTATGTCATCAACCTGACGTTCCTATAAGTCCCAAGCACCCGCTTTATATGTAGCCTAAGGAAGGGAGAGTCGTAGGCTGGTTAGGAGCCATAGGTGTTTTTTTGTTTTGTTTTTTTTTTAGGGTATTAGCTGCTCCTTCACTTAAGTAAAGTTGAGAGATACTATACAAAATATATGAAGGCAAGAGAAAATCAAAAGAAAGAGGAAACAGATTCTCGTTTCTGTCTTAAACTGAAAAAAAAAAAACCTCGAGGTGACTCGATATATCACAATCGATGCGAAGATTTCCTTCTTCGTCCACTTTTTTCTCCTGATATAGTATTTTTCTGTAATAAAACATTTGGCAAAAGAAAAAAGAGATTGTGTAGAGTCATTATTGGATGGCTCCTTTAGTAAATGTTGAAAAATATTTTCATGGCAAGAATTTAGTGAGGACTCGGGTGCTTATTCTCTGTTTAATTCAGTAAATCACATGTTGGTTATCTCTCCACAGGCGACAACCCCTCTCCACTGGCTATTCTCACGGGTCACGAGCAGCCGGTGGTCTGTGTGGATGTCAATGCTTCTCTCGGACTTGTAGTCAGCGGTTCTCAAGGTACGTTTCCAAGCAACAAGCCGATTGTCGAAGAAGTGCCTTTACCCGAATGACATCCATAGGCATATTCTCTACACTTTTCTCCATTTATTTTGTATTGTACTAACTAGGAGAACTTGTTTAAAAATCAGAACTTCTTAAGCTGGTGATCATTTCCTTTGTCCTAGTGACTTCAATTTTTGTTTTAGTAAAGATACTGTTAGGAGAAATTAGATGCTCGTTATTTTTGAGGTGAAAGGTTAACCAGAGTGTTAAATGTTATGTTTCTCTTTTTCTGTCAGAGGGACCTTGTCTTTTGCACACTACGGCGGGGAATCTCTTAAGAACGCTGCGAGGGCCTGGAGACTGCGTCAGACCGAGGCTGTTGAAACTGAGCCGCGATGGTTTGGTGGTAGTGAACTACACAGACGGCACAGGTCATCTGGCGGTGTTTACCATCAACGGCCGGCTTCTAAGCGACAAAAAACTGGATGATCAGATGCTGGTATGTTATCGCAGTTACCAAAAGCATTATGGGGGAGGTAATGGGTGAAGTCTATGGTTTTCGCACCCGGGTTCCTATTTTAAGCTTTTGGCTTATTTAACATCAAATCCATAAATGGGCTTGTTTTGGTGTTTCGGCGAATTCTCATACATCATCACAGTAATAGGAAAATTTTAGCTGGACTCTTGATAAGTTAGTAATACTCAGGGGATGTTCTCTACCCAAACCTTCCCTAACTTATCTTTTTAAACCAACCACGTTTCCATAGAAGAAAGTGGTTAATCTGTTCATGTTTTCTTTCTTAACCAAAGGCACTGGCTCTCAATAAAGACGGTAATTTCTTCGTGACTGGAGGATTCAGCCGATATCTGAGGTTGTGGCGAACTCATGACTTGTGCCTTCTTCACACCTATCCGCCATGTGACGGCAGCATTAGGGCTCTAACCATCTCTACTGACCAGAGGTACGTCACACGCAACGTAGGCTATCGTTAAGAGCTTGCGATTGTTCACCGAGCCGCTCTACTTTATTTTTGTCTCTCATCTACCGTCTCAAAAGACTCCTCTCCCTCCCCTACCTTGTGCTGCTTTTGAAATCTAGGATTGCGGCCAAACTTTTCACGAAGAAATAATTTGCGCTCGTTCCATTATGTCTCACTCAAAGAATTATGTGACTGACAACAGACTCAATAGATGTTTTACAATACATCAAGAATGATTTTCACCCATACCCACGAAAGAGGATTTGGGGAGGGGGGGGGGACGGTGGTGGGGATCAATGAATTCAGACAATTGGAAAGGAGAGGGAACAAATTCATGCAGAGATTACAATATGCTAAATATTTGACATTCTGAATAGTAATCCCTCATTTCTTGTTCCTAGGTGTTTGGTTGCTGGACTGGCTTCAGGCAGTATCTTGGCCATTGCCGTGAACTTCCCGGGCCGTCTTTGACCCGAATTTCACTTTCCCCCCAAGAAAAACAGAAATAACAAAAAACAGGACGTTTAGCCATGGATTTCAATGAACAATGTCTTGGTTTGTGATACGAGGCTGCGACGACGAGCTTTTCTCGTAAATGGTTGAATTGTGTCATGATGGATGAGCATTTTTGTAGAATTTAGATTATAATGTTTGAATCTTCATATTCGATCACAAACTGTGGACGAGTTCATAGAGTGAATTTTTTAGTGAATGAAAGAAATGATTGTAATACTGTGAAATTCCAACTAACTACTTGTACATTTGGAATGGATCATTTCAAAGATGTCAAAAGCTTCCTTTAAAATAGGGCAAGTGCGAGGGCTTTGATATGAAAGTGGTTTTTGTATTCTCGAATGAATGCGATTCTTCTTTACCCGAAATGTCTTAGACTGGGCCTGATACCAAATGTTAGGATTTTTGGAACTTGTAAATGGCTTCTGAAGTATGGCCGGGATATGTACATTAGAACCAATCAAGTAGAGAAAGTAGATCAGTGCCGGTCGATCTCAGCCAATCAGTGTCAATCACTCCAAACGCCTAGCCAATAGTCCTACGCGGTCAAACCGCACTGCGAGACATTTGAATGGGTTTCTCTCATAGAAAACTACAATTCATAAGGGCTGTGTGTCAATTTATTGATTGCTCCAAACAAAATCGCTTATTGCTTTTACATTTCTAGCTGTTACATCTTTAGTTACTCTTTATCCAGACGTCTACTACACAGCTTAACAAGAACAAGCGTAATATTAACTAGAGATAAATATTAGGGGCCCAGATATCAGCTTCGAAGTTTTCTTCGTCATTTCCTTTCATGTCTTCAGGGAGGATTTGAGAAACCTAAATTGTTAATTATATATTTATTGCATACTTCCAGCGAGTATGAGGATAAAACTGGTTGCCGTCAAGCTTAGGGGTTCCAAAGTTTAATGGATGTAATCTTTTGCTTGAATGTTTCAAAAATCATCATTCCAATGACATAATACAATTAAATTTAATAGGGGGTCCTAGAAATTGATGCCGATTGATGCAGTCAATCGACAAGGGGATATAGTATTAAACGATTATCAAAAACGGTCCAGTTATAAAGGTAGAACCCAAATATACTTTTTTTTAAATAGTAAGTATGCAACAGTGAACTAACATAATGAAAGGTGAAGTGAAATAAAGATAACGAAATATTTGACTTTCAAGTTGATCTTGGTACTTACTTTGTCTCTGGTATGTTAAACCTTTAAACCCCTTAGGTGTCATGACTGGCATCTAATTTCTCCTAACAATACCACCCCTGAATCAAACATTAAGGTCACGAGAATAAGGGAAATGATCATTGACTTCAGAAACTCTTTGATTTGTAAACAAATTCTCCTTGTCAGCACCTTTGGAAATGCTTAGAGGACAGTATGGAGAATATGCATATTGATGTGGAGGTGTCAAGAGTTGACCCTCGACCTCGCCAAAGTGAATTTCAAAGTGAATTACACACACTTTTCAACATCACCACATAATCCAGTAAACAGTTAATGAGAACACGGAAACGTATTAACCAGTTGGCTTTATCATGCGGTAACCCAAATTAATTGCGCTGATTTGCAAGAAAATTTAAAACAGCCGAAAGGTAAAGTTACGAACCAGACCTTGGGAGTTTACGATTTATTGTCACTTTTGACCCAGGAGCCCTCTTCTTTTTTTTTCTTTTTCTTATCCACTATTTCATAACTCAGTAACCGGGGAGGAACTGAAGCCTAAAAACGAGGTGTAAACAATTTAACAGGTTTAACAGGTTTTGATGCCCAGGCCACTAATACCATGTTCAGTTGCAAAAATTTCCGTTTGGAGAGTTATGTAGCATACATGACGTGATATTTAGTATATATCTATCGTAGGTTCCCATTTCACGAGAGTTGCAAACTTTACAACAATTAACAATTTGGTTACATTCTACGCGTCTGGCATTTCATTTCTTCTTTCCTTTCATTTGTTCTTTTGCAACTTGAGCGGTGGCTTGTTGTGCTTGAGCCAGCGCAGCCTGGGCGGCGGCCTTTCTCTTGTTAAAAAGATTTATCTCCTCGTCCTGAAAAGGCAAATTAGAATTAGTTAACGTGCCCGTTAGTAAAGACAAACAAACAAACAAACAAACCTTATCCTCATTCTAGTGCGATTTTCGTGTTTGGTAAAATTATTGCTGTTTTTTCTTCTCGTTTTTCTATGTCGAAATAAGCTTTTTGCGATTATTTCTCGATTAAACTACGCAACTTCTTTTTCAGCCACTAATCAACACTAACTGCGGCTGTCAACGAGGTCGTTGCACGACGACAGAGCGCATTTGGCGTTTTTGTTCTCACTTACCAGCAACCTTCGTTTTTCTTCCAGCTTCTTCTTTTCGTCTACTTGTGTCTTCTTAAGATGTTCAAACTTGGCATGGAGCTAAATGTTTTTCAAGTTTACCAATAGTCACAAGGTGAGAAAAATAAAGAACAGAAAAAGGAAGGCAATATATCAGATGAACTATTAAACAACTATGCGCCGTTCTAAGGAATAATTTCTCATTTACATTCGTGTAATGTAACTTGGATTTATGTTTGCAGGATTGTAGATACACAGTATAGGTGAGCGATACCCAAAGGAAACGTTTGAGGTGTTTCAACATAGTTGCCTACGATAAAAATCCTCTCTAGTACCAAACCTCAATCTTACTTCTTTTCAAAGTTACCACCAGCAATTTAGATTAAACACACGTTCAATGTCTAAGTATTAGACATAATATTTCTTTCACTCTGAAGAAGGGCTAAACTCGAAACGTCCGCTTTGGAAACTTTCTTTGGTGGCCAATTTACATGATCAACTCAGTTAATAACACTACATTATCTTAGACTTAAAGGATGAGGTGAACACGATGTTTGAGGTACACAACCGTTATCGACACCACATACCTCTTGCTCGGCTTGTTTTAATTCAGCCTCTTTCTCTTTGACCTTGTCTACAAAGCTCTGTCTCATTTTCTCTTCTCTGCTTTGTATGTCCTTCATGTACTCCTGTCTCCTAAGCTCGTACGTCTCCTGTAGACTGTGAGGTTGTTTGTCGCCGTCACCATCACTGAAACCCATGGTTTCTAACTTGTTCCTGCGGTACAACTCGTAGTGCCCGGTATGCGTCTTGTCGATCAAGTCCTGCATGTTTGTTCTGGAAAGTATGAAGCATTGTTTTACGATATGCTGAATTATGCACGAAGTTTCATTGGTTCTTCCCTATGATCCATTGGAGGACAGACGCAAAGATGACGTCACTATCAAAAACATCTTCCTTTTTTAATCATATAAATCAAATAGATTCACGTGATCTGGATTAGGCATTTAGCACATGGCACGAATGGTCTCCATACTTCTCCCCACGATGTTCAAAAACTCGATATTCCATGGGTAAACAATTCAGTACAAACTTACCGTACAAGCATCTCTCTCAGTTTCACAAAGTCGCAATGATTTTCATTTTCAACTAGAAAGAATGAAATAAAGGTCAGTTTTCCTTCATGCGCGAACATCTTTCAACAAGTACTGTATAAAACGCTATCAGGAATCTTTTAGCACGATACTATCGTTAGTAATCAGCTCCTCTTTCACGTCAGCTGTGATGTTACAAAAAGGGTACATGTGCAGTACCTTCTACAGTCCCCCAAGGATATTGTCTGGCTCTCGTCTTCACTTTGTTAATAATAGCCTCTTCACGGCTTCCAACAACAGCAAATGGAATTTGCTCCTGAAAAAAAAATCACCAGCTTACTCACACGCACACGTAACATGCACACTGACAGATAACAGAACTGTCGAGTAAATATGAAAACTGTATACGGCAACTCTCGATTTTTAAAATAAATTCTCCTTGTCAGGACCTAAGGAAATTTATAGAGAACATCATGGAGAAAGTGCATTTTGATGTTACGGTGTAAAGGGTAAGTAACTATTTGATAGTATTAAGGTAGTGGGAACGAGATTTATCAACTTGCGTACATTCATGCCAGCATTCATCTCAGCAACAGTCTCATCGTCAACTGGAAATCGGTAAATTTCTACACCATTACTTGTAAGCTCCTCCATAATCTGAAAAATAAAGGGGAAAGTTAACCATTTTTTTCCATGGATGTACATTTATATGTAATCAAGGAACCTGTGTTAGATCAAATGAATGTACATGTACATGGAATTCTCCATAATTCATAAGCTCACCTTCTCTTTGAATTGTTTCAGTTCACTTTTTGCTATGGTGTCTGCTTTGGCAATTATGGGAACAATATTCACCTGTAAACATAGCAAGAGAAAAAAAAGCATATTTGGAATAAGTTGTTTCCTTATTGAGGTTTAACAACACTGTTTTTTGAGAAGAATAAGGCTCTTATTTCAGAGGTGTAGGTTGCCCAATTCATAAAAGCTATTTAAATTAAGCTCCCAATATCTGGGCCGGGTTGTTCGAAGCTGGGTTAAGATAACCCAGGATTAGTGTGAAATCTGATTTGAGATCTGAAACCTTTAAAAAAAAATCAGTCAAATTTCTTTTTGTCTAGAATATGACTATTTGATGCCCTAAAAAGAACACAGAAAATTAATCCAAAAGGACTTTTGAATAAAGGAATAAAGAAACCCAGATTACAATTTAACCTTGGGTTAGTGCTAATCAGCCTTTGATCAACTGGGCCCTGATTGTTAATTGTCCCCTATAGCTGCTGTACATTTCCTTGTAAATTTGTTATGAGAACGTGGTGTTTAATCAAGATGATAACTTCTACCTGAAAAGTTTGAGTATTCTCATTACCTGTTTGCTGGATAGTGTTTGAATATAATAGGGAGAACTTTCATGTTGATCACTTCTGGGAGTTTAAGGGTTAAGAAAAAGCTAAGCAGTAGCTTAAATAAAAGCACAGTTGGAGTTTGATTTGTTCATCACAAGTATAATTACAGACTGAATTTGATGACACAAGGACAATTAATCATAAAAATTACAATTTCCAAGAAAGAAGCAATCAACACCGGCATCAGCATAATATTACTTTGAAGTGTTACCTGCATGTACTAACCTTTTTGTCCAGTTTTTTCATACAAACAAGGTCCAGAGATTTTAACCTGAAGAAAAGTGCAACCTTGAATAAATATGCTTTAACTAAGGAAAGTACTCTATATGATTGTGCAGTCACTAAAAATTAAATAAAGGAGGCAGGTTTACATCATAAGAAAATGATTCATAGTACATTGGAGACCCAAAAGTTATGTTTTACTTGTAGTTATGCTTAACAGTAAAATTGCATCATAAAGAACCAAAATGGCTTCAGCAAAAGGTATGCAATTCAGTGTTCTGGGTAACAAAAATTTATTACACATGTATTTGAGCCCCAAGTAGTCTGCTACATCACAGTTTCTATAAGAATAAGACACACCAGAACCCATTTAAGACTTAGAAATGTATTTGGGAAACAGAACACTTGTGATTGGCAGCACAGCTTACAAGTATATGTGGGAGTGGGTGATGTGCAACTCCTGATAACAGTAGTGAGAATAAGACAAGAATTTGAAAGAATCTTTTGAGTGCGGGAGCCATACACTGAAGACTTACGAGTGGCCACTGGGAGAGATGAAGTAGAGGCAAACATGAACACGTGTGTCATGGTACACATTCAGGGTTCTTTTTATCTTGAGCTCTTGTTGAAGATATTTTTCAAACTGGGAATCAATATACTCCACAATAGGACTGGCACTGAAAATAGTAACAAACCACTTCACTTTTTAGACAAAGTCCTGAATGTGTACAATTAGTATTAACAACCCTTGAAAAAGAAACAACTGGGATATTACTTCATCACAGCTTGTGGCATATGATTGAAGGAGCTCATGATTCTGTCACAGTGACAGCAATCTATCGCAGTCCCACACAAAAGTTCTTAAAGATAACATGCTTAAAGTTCCTGTAAAAACAGTTTGGTGCATTCTCAGTGCTTTTAAGTCTAATAATTTCCTTCAGCTGAGAAACACAACTTTGGCAAATTGCCTTCATCTGACAAAGCCTTCTCTGAAGCTCTATGCTATGCTCTGAGTTCCTCTGCTTTTGGTAGCCAGGCTTTTAACAGTTATCCAGTGGAAATCCTAATTCGGATACAAGTTTCCTATTGTGCCTCTGGGTGAACCTGTACATACTACACTCTCAAAAGGAATTTAAGAAGAAAATCAATACAGCAGACACCATACCTGTCTTCTTTGTTGATCTGGTCTCCAAAACCAACAGTATCCACAACTGTAAGCTTCAGTTTCACATTGCTCTCATTCAAATCTACCAAAGGTAATTGGCAGAAAACTATCCTTAGTCATGGATACTTAATAAGAGATTTTATCGTTAATGCACCAACAGAATGAAAGTGTACACCATAAGTATTCCATGTGAATATAAGTGGATTTCAGGAACTCATGTCCAAATATCTTTACTTCTAACTCTATGAAAATTTAGGAATGATAAAGGAGAGGAAAAGAAGATAATTTTTCCATGAAATAGACATGTATGATCACATAAATGAAAATAAAGAAAAAATGAAAAACTTTTCATCATTTGTAACATTGTTGAACTCACCATAGGTGTGATCCTCTACTTTCACACCAGGAAGTTGATGAGAATGAGGAATTCCTAGACAGACAAAAGGGTTGAATAATTTAAGGAGCAATTGAAAAAAGCCCAAAGGAACTCTGAATTGTCCATTTGTTTATTCAGAGTCTACAGTGAGATGAAACCAGTCAAGGGGGAGGAATTACTGGAAAGATATTTGGTACAGGGCTGACAGTTGTAGATAGGTTGAAAGATCTTTTGTTCTCTAAGCTTTTCATTGCTACTTCAACTTAAAATACCACTTGACAAGACTAGTGTCTAACTAAAAAAAACTATGCAGTTTGCTAAGACATCCACATCTGGCACTTCTATCATAAATATCTATATTTTAATTTTTTCCTCATAAATTTCTATAGTAATCTAAATTAACTAAATAAAATTGTAAATTTAAAGCAAAAGAGTAAGGAAACATGAAACAAACAATTGATGTTGTTGTTGTTTGTTGCTCCTGAAGATACAATTGTAAATTAATTTTATGGAAAGTCAAGAAATACAGTGTACTACTCATAAAGAGAGTTTTGTGGCAGTGGGAAAATAAGAAGCAACATGTTTAAGATCAACAGGTGTTTTAAGTAATTATTATTCTGGTCTGGTCTATTTTTCTAGTCTGGTTGATTTCTTTTGTAACAATTGTGCATAAAATTAACTTGATGGTCATGACATTCACAATACACAGCACAAAAAATTCTACCATGCAGAAGCTCAAAAAACTTTCCTTTCAAAGTTTTCACATAGCCTGTACTTGTACTGCAATATCGAAAGAGATTAGAACTTTAGGATGTTTCTTGACACACAGGTGAATGAAACGATTGTACCAAGTGCTGCATTTGAATCTGTCAGCCATGCAATATTTAATAGTTTCAGGGATAGCCACACCTATTACCTCGACCACAACAACAATGAATATTAACAAAAGGAAGACGCGCTTGCATCACTTCCCATCAAAACTGAAAAGGATTCCACGGAATTTGAAACGAACGCTGGAACACTTGATCACTCCAAACCTACCTTCAAATGTCGTTTTAAAAAGACAATCCATCAGAGTTGATTTTCCGATTCCTGTTTCACCTAAATATAAAAATATCCTCTATTAAGTCACTTCCTCCTTTTCAATTTTCGTTTTGGAAGTAATTCAACCTAAACACATGAAAGTTATGTTTTGAATAAGTTTGACAACACTTAACACATGATAAAAGTCTTAAAGAAGTTCGATTCTGTAGATAGGTTTAAACTCGTGCATACTCTATCCAGGTAGATGCAAGTTCCTTATTTTACAAGAAGAATATCTTACCTATGCACAGAATATTAAAGGCAAAGCCTCTATTCACTGATTTATTGACAAGCTGGTCCGGTAAGCTGTCAAAGCCAACATGGCCCGCTAAACGCAACTGCCGCCCGTCCGCTCCCTTTAACAGAACGATTTCAGCAAGTTACAGAAATAGTACAAATTCAAGAGACGAAAACTTGAAAAATTGCTACTTACCAATGTCCTGCAGTAATCAGTCACCGCCGAAGCCATTTCAATCGAGTGTAAAGTCTAACTAAAGAGCCAAACAGCTGCTTATGAATATTTCGAGAGTAAAGAGGTGAGAATTATGAAAAAATGTGGTTTGGTCAGCGGTCAAAACTGGAGCCTAGTCTTTTCTCTGCAAAAGATTGGGAGTCTTCGAAATTGTGAACTTTGCAGTTTACCTCGTACGATTCGTTTGACATATGGAAGTGAACCTCTGTTCTCAATAACCTACTTATCAGCTCATAATCCTTCTACTGAGCGATGTTTTCTTCACTAGGGGGTAAAACGTCCTTGTTTCGCGTCACGCTCGTTGGAATTGGGGGAGTTGGTTGCTGTCTGTTGTGGAGAGCGAAGAATGGACATTCATCTGTCAATGTAGTTGCGGCAAAGTCTCCTGATAATGGTCCAGGGCCGACACAAACTCGGCGAAAGACAAAATTTGATCAGTTTGCTTCCATTGAAGTGGACGGGCGGTATTTCATGACTCCAGCTGATTTCCTGGAATCTGTCATGAACAAAGATTCACTAGGTGATGATCGCGACTGTACTCAGACACACACCCACTAATGCACATTTATTTGACTTAACCCCTTTCATATACTTCACCCCCTGTCACCATCTTCATCTGTAAAGGTCAATGAACATAAACCTTGGTTGTTTCTTTCAACCATTCCTACCTTAGCCTGTTGGAAATTGCTTGATAGGACTATCCAGCACAATCAACAATCAATTGCTGTTGAACAGATAAACATCAACAAAGTTACTTAAAAGTGGGGGATCGAGTCATTCCCCTTTCAAACCACTGGTTCTTGGACCAAAAGTTTGCCACAAAGTGTTAAGAAAGTTTTCAAAATTTGTGTTAACCTCACCAAAATCTATGAGTGAGAAAGATCAGCTGTGCAGGTGATCCAGAGGAACATGATTTGAGGCTGATTTAAGTGTAGAGTTTTGTTACATAATGTGAAATTTGCTATCATCAGGGGGCAATTTTGAAGTTGAAACATCAAAGGGATAAAGAGGCCTTCAGTTAACAATGTTTTTATCACTTGAAATAGTAAATTAGAGGTTTCTGAGAAATGGCTTTTGTAAATTACTTTGAATCATCCTACTGAAACTGTTTTAAAAGAAATTAACAAACTTGTGTTTTTCTTTTATAAACATGTACAGGATGGAGTAAGAAAAGGCCATTAACAAAGGATGTAAGTTTGAAGCCAACATTGTTTTGATTATTTATTTTTTAATTGCATTGCTGCGCTACTTATAAATGTAAGTGCAGGGCAGTATTGTAATTAATATTTAAATATTTATGACACAAGTCAGGAAAACTGGATTGCATATGTGAAGTGGAGGTGTCACAAACTTTGTACTCTACACTACTCATTTATACTCTTGGGTGAATCATGACATTGTTAGAATGAAATTTCTTGCCTTGGCTAGTAAGGATACAATGTACTAACCCTGGGCTTGAACTTGGGCCTTTCATTATCTCCCACCAATCTGATTGCTGGGTCAAGGGGTCTCCTTTGTGAAATATGTTTTATCATATGACTTGTATGTCCAGTGTGCATAATGAAAGCTGATCTGTATAGGAACAGATGGGTCCAAGCCAGTCTGTGTTTTTGAAGTGCGCAAATTAAAATTCTGGATTTCAACTTGAAATAATTTGGAAGCAAATTTCTGGTCCTGACCAGAAGACATTCAAAGTTTTTAAAGAAAAAAGTTTTTTTTATCCACCACCTGTCCATCTAAAGGAAATATGTGTTATTGTTAACCATTTAGGTTCAAACATGATTTCAAAATTTAAGACTTAGTGGTTGTATGTACATATCAACTGGGTTCGATTGGGAGGATGGAAATATTTAGTTCTTGTTCATTGTGCATAGCCCTCACTCTGTGGAGTTTGGAATTCCTGACCTTAAGCCAAATAAAGTTTTTGTTCAGCCCTCCTACTCAGTCAATAAATAAATAGTACTGGTAAACAATGGCAGCATATGCCTTCTTCTTATGACTCATAAGTTACTTCTTTTATTTACTTTTAGGTTCTTTCTCAGATGGTCTACAATACACCCTCAATATCAAAGGGATCTAGGAATTTTTTTCGCAAGCTGCAAGATAATGGTAATTTCATTTATATGCTATTAACAATTAATTTCTTACTTGCTAATTTGTGTAACAGATATTGTCCTCAAATTGTTGTTTTTGATTTATGCATGAAAATATTTTTTAATTGTAATCTATGTAATTCAAGATAACTATATTTTTTTATATATTTTTTTGCTTACCAGGAGTCATCACCTTCTCCGAATACTTGTTCCTTCTTACCATTTTAACAAGTATGTTATTACAACTCTTCTCCTACAAGTACATTAAGTTGGGACTTTGATGTTGTTAGTTTTGTTACAATTATGTAATTTATATAGTGGTACATTTATACCAGTCATGTATATACAAAAAGGTGGCACATGAGGTGCAGCCAAGTGTGTCACTGATGTTCTTACCAGACTTCAACATCTTTTGTGATTTATCACTGTACAGACCCAGTCAGCAACATGGTCTCTATTTGTTTTAAATGATAAATATGCTGTCTTTGGTAATATCATCATACCTCTTTCCTTCATTTTGTGAGAAGCTGAATTATTCACACTTTCTGACTGGTTCTTACTAATGATGGATTTGCACAAATAATGTGATTTATAGATCTATTATAGAATTGGAGTAAATTTTCTTATAAATTTATTTTTCCAGAATCTCAAAGAGGATTGGAAATCGCTTTCAAAATGTTGGATAAAGATGGCAATGGCCGGCTTTGTAAGGAGGAATATTTTGTGGTAGGTTAATTCAGATAACGCAAGTTTACACAAAGCACACGGACATGTAATGGCTCTGTTTACTATTGTGCTTTACTTTTAACTAACTGAACACCTCAAACTAGGTTAAAGGCTACTGGTTAATGTGTGATGTGATTACTTAATGTATAAACAAGATTCTTGTTTTGCTTTAGTGAGTGACTGATGATTGATTTACCAATCAATCCATTCTTTCCTCTGTTTCCTTATGTTTTATCAGCTTGAAGAGATGGTCAATAAAAAGTCTTCTGCAAAATCAATGGTAAGGAATGAAAACTTTGATTTTAATAAAAAAAAAAAGTTGGAATTTAGAAGATGTAAAATTAAGTGAATAAGTGAATTATTAAATAATCTTTTTTGCCTTTTTATATAAATTTTTTTTTACTCATGTTCAGGCAATACGAGAAAATGAAAAGGAGAATCATGGCTGCCTTGAGAAGACGACACTAACCATGCATCTGTTTGGCTCCAGGGGAACTGGCCAACTTACTTTAAGTCAGTTCTCCAAGTAAGTTACTCAATGTTTGCCTAAGAGAAGTCATAAATATACAGACACATGTGTTACAGGTTAAGATATATTACTAAAGAAAAGGGCAAACTAATTCTTGACTTTTATTATTCTTTTTAATAGATTTATGCAAGATGTTCAACTAGAGGTCCTTGAAATGGAAATATCCTTTAGTAATACATGCACTTAATATAACATCTGTGAAAATAGATGTATTTTCACGATTTTTGGTCACAAAATCTACGAGAACATTTCAAATTCCAGTTCAAAAAAAGTCAACACAACAAAATAAGAATAAATGTGAGATGGATTCTTACAGTTCACGATGCCTAAACGAGAATAAGGATGACAAAATAAGGTGGAGATCTTTCATGAGTATAACTCTCGTGTCCTGTGTGGAGGTAAATTTTCATTTAGGGTAGTGAGAGTGGTAAATTTGGATTTCGGTCGTGGATCAAACTTCGGTGATTTGAACATTGTGGCTCCCCCACCAAGACCTGCATCTCAGACCATTGCTACAATGCGCCTGTTCACAGCTGGGTGCTCGTAAATCGGTTCCTTTCTGACAAGTAAGGATCAGCAGTGTCGTGAATGTCCTGTTTAGCGCAAGAAAAAAAAATTAGCTCGCTCGTCGAAAGACCAATGATGTGTAGAGAAGGTGTATTTCCAAGGTACAAACCGCTAGTAAAATGAATTCCTTAACTGTGTCCACTTTATGGAATATTCAAGGGGTATGCCAACCATACCAGAAGACAGTTTTGCTCGTTTGCTGCTGAGAAATACTTCGTTGGAGGAAGAGGAAATCCAGAAGTACTTAGACAGACTTGGAAAGAGACTGACTCAACGAAAGGTAGGATCTTTTTAATTTGTTACTTCTGTCATTAACTGTTAGTAGTATCGTAATCAATTCAATTGCTTCTATTAAAAACCGTTTTCTTTGAAGTAGCATCCGTCCTGCAACACACTCGTCACATAACACACGCGTCACGTAACTCGCATGTTGTGTGACGAACCCGTGTGGCAGCTGCGCATAGCAGGTTTCATAGTCGTAGGACTTTTGGCACGATTGACATGACTCCGTATGATGGAGTCATGTTCTCTTGCGCCGTAACGTTACTCCCTTTTCCCTTCCACCCCTTTCTTTCTCTCTCTTCAAGAGAATACCATTTCTCCAGAGGGGAAGCATCATTTCGTAACGGGAGAACGGTTTCCATGAGAGACCTTGTTTTGTTTTTACGATTGTTTGGAAAGCTCTTAGTCAGTTTTATGCAGACCATTGCTGCGTTGAATGCCTCTCCATATCACGTGAAGAGGTATTTAATTAAACACCCATATGAGCCATATGGGGGTCTCATTTTCTACGACTTGATCAAGAATTCCTCGGTCTTAAAGGCTCTCTCCTTTCCCTGACTGGAAACAAATATCGTGGAAATTATTCAACTGTCGACAACTTGTTTCTTGAAGGGAATTACTCTTGAGCAGTTCCTGAGGTTTGGAATGTTTCTCAACAACCTGGAAGATTTCTCATTGGCCATGAGAATTTACTCTATCGCTGGACAGGCCGTCACGCAAGGTACGGCAACGAACATCAGTCCTTTGTGTTTTATATCTTGTTTTGAGTTTATTTCGATTTGTGAAGGTGCGCACCGGGAAAACTCTTTCCCCTTTTACAAGTCCAAACTTACTTACAGGAAATACTTGGAAATACTTATTGTCATTATTGTCTTAACCTCTTACTCTCAACATCTGATCACTATAATTCGCCTGTCTAGATGGTTGAGGGAGGGGGGGTGTGGAGGGCAGGTTCTTGTGGGGGAATGGAGGGGGGGTTAGTCTTCGCCATCAGATTATAAAGGGGAGACTATAATAAACTGGCTGTCAACGAGGAGGGAATCATTCGATTATTACAAAGCCTTATAGGGAGGGGGGGAGAATCTATAGTGGTAGGTAAATTCTATCGTGACAACTAACATCCTTCCAGCCCACTCACCCCTCCCCTAGGAGATAAATAATGACCGAACCCCTGGCGGTAACTATTTACGGATGAAAAGTTATCTAGTTGAAGTTGAAAGAGGCAGGTGTTTTTCCGTTTAAAAATTTACATTATGAGTGTTAATGTGTTAAGTGAAATAATATTCGACATCCATCAGATTACATTGTTACCTCTTAACAAAAGACCTATGCAAGTTTGATGTTTGCGTGTAACTTGTATTCAACTAAGTGCTCTAAATTGATAATTAGATTGATATATTTCGGCACGAAACGGTTTTTGCGATCCATGTATTGAGTCTTTATTCCTTTTGCATGCCCTATCGGTCGCCTGTAACTTCTGGGATACGCGCCACTGGATTTAATCTAAGTAGGAAAATCGTCAAACGGAATAAGGTTGGAAGGTCTGTCGGTGACTCTTTCCAGACGTCTTTGTTTCCTTTACAATTTACACACAGGAAAAAAAATCAAACGAGCTAACTCTGAGATCCTTTCAAAAGTTGTGGTTGTCAATGAAAGAGCTGCAAAATATTTTTTTGTTGCACGCAACACTGAGCCATAATTATTATTTTTTTGCCGGACTCCCGCCGTTTTGGCGGAACCGCATTAATCAGCCGGTGTCACGAGCCTGATGTAGGATAAGGATGGGAAAAAATGTGTCTTAAAAATGAAAAGAAAAAAAGATAAAAATTTTGAGTTATGTTGCGTCTTCTTCGTTGGCCTTTTTCGGTCAGTCTATGCTTAAGGTGTTATCCATGACTTCTTTTACGACGGAATTCATGGAAAACTGCCATTAAAAGTCGACCGATAATTGACGCGACTAAGTTTGCAAACAAATATATTTAAGGGTCTATGTTAGTTTTTTCGTGACAAGTTTGACCTTGATCTAAATTTCTGATTTGAAGAGAAAAAGAGAGACCGAGTGGAGTTACTCTGATCTTTGTTCGCCAGAAAGATAGAATTCGTGAGAATTCTGCTCTAAAAGCTCTATTCAGGACGCCATATATTATGGGGTTGATGGAACAACTGCCAAAGCCGAGATATATATATAACATGAAAACCTGCCGTGGGATAGCGAACTTATGTGCCGAGAAAGAATCAACCATGTCAATAATAGCTATAGGTCCCCAACAGAGGATAAAGCCCAGCACAGCCGCGAAAAGAGCTTTCGTGATCTTTACTTCTTCGACGTTAAAGGGAAGAGTCGTCCCTTGTCTTTTACAGCTCATTTCGTGGTTGTGTTCTTTGA